GGGCTGCCATGGAAACTGCCCCCCAACACGGGGGGGACGGAGCGGGGTGGCCCCGGTGACACCCGGGGGTGGCTCTGACCCTGCCGGGGGGGGGTTGGGGGTCCCCACTTCCCCCTGGGGGGGCTCCGATGGCACCATGGGGGTCCCCATTTCCCCCCTGGGGTCCCCAGTGTCACCCTGGGGGGTCTCCGATGTCATATTCGCCTTGTTTAGCCCCGCTTTGGGTACATTTAGCCCTGTTTTGGGCCTGTTTTGTCCCATTTTGAGCCCGTTTAGCCCCATATTTGCCTTGTTTAGTCGCACTTTGGGTATGTTCAACCCTGTTTTGACCCCGTTTTTTCCCATTTTGAGCCCGTTTAGCCCCATATTTGCCTTGTTTAGTCGCACTTTGGGTATGTTCAACCCTGTTTTGACCCCGTTTTTTCCCATTTTGAGCCCGTTTAGCCCCATATTTGCCTTGTTTAGCCCTGTTTTGGGCCTGTTTCATCTCATTTTGTGACACCCGGGGGTGGCTCTGACCCTGCCGGGGGGGGGTTGGGGGTCCCCACTTCCCCCTGGGGGGGCTCCGATGGCACCATGGGGGTCCCCATTTCCCCCCTGGGGTCCCCAGTGTCACCCTGGGGGGTCTCCGATGTCATCCTGGGGGTCCTCAGTTCAGGTTTGGGGTCACCATTGTCACCGTGGGGGTCCCCAATTCTCCTTTGGGGGTCCCCAGTTCCCCCCTGGGGTCCCCAGTTCAGGCTCAAGGTGCCCCACTGTCACCCTGGGGGTCCCCAGTTCAGGTTTGGGGTCACCATTGTCACCGTGGGGGTCCCCAATTCTCCTTTGGGGGTCCCCAGTTCCCCCCTGGGGTCCCCAGTTCAGGCTCAAGGTGCCCCACTGTCACCCTGGGGGTCCCCAGTTCAGGTTTGGGGTCCCCAATTCCCTTTTGGGGGTCCCCAATGTCACCCTGGGGGCCCCCAATTTTCCCCTGTGACCCCCCAATCTCCCCCCTGGGGTCCCCGATGTCACCCTGGGGGTCCCCAGTTCCCCTTTGGGGGGTCCTAGTGTCACCCTGGGGGTCCCCAGTTCAGGTTTGGGGTCCCCAATTCCCCTTTGGGGGTCCCCAGTCCCACCCTGGGGTCCCCAGTTCAGGTTTGGGGTCCCTAGTTCCCCCTGGGGGGTCTCTGATGTCACCCTGGGGGTCCCCAGTTGCCCCCTGGGGTGCCCCAGTTGCCCCCTCAGTTCCCCAGTTCAGGTTTGGGGTCCCCAATTCCCCTTTGGGGGTCCCTGATGTCAGCCTTGGGGTCCCCGGTCCCAGCCTGATGTGCCCCGATTCAGGTTTGGGGACCCCAGTGTCACCCTGGGGGCCTCCAATTTACCCCTGCGACCCCCAGTGTCACCCTGGGGGTCCCCAATTCCCCCCTGGTGTCCCCATTGTCACCATGGGGGTCCCCAATTCCCCCCGAGACCCCCCCAATTC